CTATTAAATGGCATTTATTCTACATACACACAACGTTCCTAACCTTTTTGTTTTTTATTAAAGGCCAGTTTGACATGAGTTTCTATTTTATAGAAGAGTTTTTGAAGAAAGCGACTTTTGTCTTTGTTTGAAAACTAATTTTTAAAAGAGTTTCCTATTTCTAAAGTGATTTTAGAGGAAATAACATTGGACCAACTTCTACTTAAAGCTCTTTTAATTAGAAGAAACTGCAGCCCAATATAGTTGTGACCATTTACAGATAACCTGATATGTATATTTTTGTTTTGAATCAATCGACCATGTTTGGTCAGTGAACTAAACACACCACAAATGTTTTTGGCGTCTAGTCATAGATAGCGACTGTGGAGATCATAAGCTTACATAGGTAATATCTGATTTTTCAAGAAAACAGTCCTAATATTCAGCACAATTTGTAAAAGAGGATGACAGTAAGTAAAAACACCCAACTTTTGAAAAGTATCTGTAATCAAAGATTAATCGCTCATTGTTGGTAAAACCAACTTCCTTTTCCTCCTCAGTTATGCTTTAACAAAATTATGTTTCGATCTTCTTAAGTCTATTTAGAACATCTTTCATATCGAGCCTCTCCTAAGGAAAATAATGATCATTTGCAACACTAAAAAGACAACATTTTTTAATTAAGTGTTGATAAAGTGGTCTATTGCAACATTTTAATAAGTGAATGTTGCCATTGGTGAACACGATTGAGTTTTGGCAACATTTTTTAAATGTACGTTGCTAATATCACATTTTCCAATGTTTATTGAATGTTGCGAAAAGTTTCATTTTTTGTAACGTTTATTGAATGTTGTTAAAATCTGATTTTACAGCAACGTTCAGTGAAGGTTGCTAAAACTCGTAATACATATCTTTTTGCAACGTTCACCAACAGTAGCAAAAAGTTTCAATTTTGCAACATTTATTGAATGTTGTGAAAAGTTTCATTTTTTTGTAACGTTTATTGAATGTTTTTAAAATCTGGATCGATAGCAACGTTCAGTGTATGTTGCTAAAACTTGTAATCACTACGCCAAAAATCACCTTTTACAGCGGCCAAAAAATGCTGCAAAAGGTCTTTTGCAGCATTTTTCCAAGTGTTGCGGAGGTTAGTGTTGTCGTTGAGGGAAGAATTTTTGCAGCGTTTTTTCAACGTTGCGGTAAGACCCTTTTGCAGCGTTTTTTAAACGTTGCGGTAGACCCCTTAGACCCCTTTTGCAATGTTTTTTCAACGTTGCGGTAAGACCCTTTTGCAGCGTTTTTTAAACGTTGCGGTAAACCTCTTTCGTAGGGTTTTTTCAACGTTGCGGTAGACTTCTTTTTTTTAACAGATATGGTAATTGAGTAATTAACCCATAAAATTAAAAATAACACTTTGTGNAAAATGAAATAAAATTGTAACTCTCGTAGAAGTGAATCTTCGTTACCTTCATATGATTCGTCCCAAAATTTTGATTTATTTACTCCCCAGCAATGAAAGACCATTACTGCCAGTAGCTGAATTATCATTTGCCATCAACTATAACTGGCTGAGTTATTCAACTCCCCAAGCTTCTCTTCCATCTTCTGCACCTCGCACAGCCTGCACCATTCACTCCGTCCTCCGATGAAGCATCATTACAGCAATACCACATAACATCGATCAATAATTTCGTTTTTAAACACCATAACCCTCCCATTTGTTTAGATCTAAAGCTAATCTGCTAGACAATAAAAACCTATTAAATAGGTTATAAAAACACATAAAAAAAATTGAATTTAAAACATGTTTATGATCAATATCTTAGGATAAACAACTTAATAGATCACTTAAAATGGAACTGTTGGAAAATTGATCTGTAAGCATAAAAATAGCATAAAACTCGATTCACTTAAGGGAAGAAAAGATTAGTGCATAAAACTCAAGATTTGAAGACAATTAAAGTAGGAGCACTTCTAGGACATTCCCTTCAATATTGATGTTTATGAGTCTGGTAAGAATCCTTGATATAAAAAAGAAGTTCCAACACAAAATTTACATCCCCAAACATTTCCTTTTCTTTCAACTGCAATTGCCTACACCCTGACCCATTTTCATTTCAGAAATTACAACAACATTTCACTTTAAGTAGCTATGTTCCTATATGCTTCCAGTGCAAGCACTCAATTCCAACAGTAATCTTATCCCTAGGAAACTACTAAATAATTAATTCAAATAGAAAAGAAAAACATAGAGGAAGAAAAAAAATATAGACAAAGGAAATAATAAATAAAGAGGAGAAGACTGAAGTTACATGTTGCCACTCCTCTAACACCAAAAAACTACCATGTCACTGGTTGGGGAGGGGAGTTTGCACTTCAAAAGGTAGAGATCAATAAAAATAAGGCTAAAGGAGCCTCAGACACCCCTTGGCATGAACCTGAATGATTCAAAGAGTAAGCCTAGATCATAAATTTAAACATTCCCAATGAACACCTCATACCAAGGAGAGCCTTAAGGTATGTGCTCCTAATAACATTAGGTACAAGAAGGGTTGGGGATGGCAAAGAGGTAACATGAGGTGTCCGATTTGGAGGGGAGGTGGGTACATGGATGGGATTAGTGTAAAGTGGAGGTAGCTGATGTTTGTGAAGTTGCTAGAAGGGGTAATGGATGACAGACAAAGAACATAACAAGCTTTCCCATTTTGATTTTTTTTAAAGGTAGTTCAGGGAAAAAAATGTGTTCTTTTGCACAGTAAATAGAACTCTGAAACTGAGATAGGTTTCCGCATAGTTGAGGCCGAAGTAAGGGTATACATCTTCAAATCATCAATCACCTTAACATAAATATGCTTGTTGGAGTGGAAAACACACAATCTTGGTCTTTCTAGTGTTCCTTCAACCTGAGAAGTCAAGAAATCGATGATGTTGAGTCATCATTGAGACACAAGACAGAAAGAAACTAGTCTGAAGAAATGAATGAAATCCAAGTTCTATCACGGATGGTAAAATATATAGAATTACATCAATCCAGTGAACAAGAGGCCATCACACAAAAAGGGTCAAATCAAGAAAGGAGCATCAATTGAAACTTTAATTTTGATTAAGTACCAAAAGAAATTTACTATGTCCTGCTACTTTAGTTCTTTCCATCGTGGCTACTAGATAGTCTTTTACATGTTTCCTGTTTGTTTTGTTTTATAATAACTTGCTTGAAATCTCAAACTTGGAAGAATGTAAGCAGAGATCATATGTAATTCTTTTTCCAAAAATATTTATGTAATACAAACACGGATGATAGATTATTTATGCAAACTGATTTTGGAGAAAATGTACA